AATATTTTCCGCTAAGTAAAATTTATTCCCAGACACTTTTTGACTCATTGATTGAGGCGCTTGAGAGCGACCTAAATAAATAAATACATTCCTTAATAACCCATTATCATTAATTCCGAATCCCTAATGAACATTCATCTCGCTTGTAACCCTGAGCTAATTTGACCTCATGTTAGCCAAGTCTTGCAACACTACCTCCCGATATCTAACCTATGCTACCAATATGCTACCGAAATGCTACAGCTATTTGGCGGATCTATGGGTACATATCGGGAGATTTGTCTCCCGATATGTACATTGATTCAACCTGTGAATGAATTTGCATTCTCCATTTTTATTATGAACCACTTGTTTATCATTTCAATTGTACAACCATTTTTAATGAAAAAACTAGCTATCCTTTCACAATTTTCGCGCACTTCCATTGCAATGGCATTATTGGTTAGAAAAACATATTTCCCTTAACTTTTAGCAATTTACGAAATATTTAACTTGAAATAGCATATTTGAACATTAGGTTTCAGAAGACGTATACTGATATTTAAAATTTTAAATCAAATGTTACAAAACTTATTAGAAGCTTTGACGTTTTGGCTCCACTTAAAAATTAAATTTAGTTATTGGATTTTGATCTAAAAATTCAAATTAAATAATAGAACCAGTTTTTTTAATATTAATTATAAATTGAGCACTTATTTAACATCTATGCTAAAGACAAAATTCTCCAAATTCTGAAGAATTGATAAAGAGACAAACTGAAGAATATTTAACACCTAACTTCTGTTTCTGTATTATATGTGTAACTTTTTTTGACAAACATACCCAGTTTCGAAAAACTAAGCTTTTTTTTTTGTCTTAAAAAAAAAAAATTGTACTGTACACGAAAGTAAATGATTATATATATGTAAAAATTAATTATATATAAAGTTCATAAAATTCAATGTTAAATTTCTATTTCTTTTGCTTTTTCCGTGATGACCCTTCTTCACCTTCTTCATTTCCATATTTTTGCTCCATTATTCTACTGATCTTTTGCCAATCTCTATCTAATTTTTGTTTTTCTGTCAACTCTCTTCCACTTCTTCGAGTTTTACGGCCATCACCTGTTTTAACTCCAAATTGAAACGCTGATTTTGGCATGGCGGTTACATTATCCTAAAAAAAAAAAAAAAAAAAAAAAAGTTAAGAAAATGACCATAAAAATTATGAAAACGGTTTTGAATTAATCACATAGATATGTATTACCTTATAAGCTTGCCATTCTTCTTCGGTATCAAAATCCCATCGTGATAATTGGGCTTTTTTATTCTTAGTAACTCCTTGATCCCGGATAGTATGTTCAACGCCAGTGCCATCTGAATCCGAATCTGAATGCCCAGAATCATAGGCACTTTCTCGTGTACCTGCCAAGCTACTTACACCAAGTCCATACGTTGAATAGTCTCCCTCGTAGCTATCTTGTCCAAATAACCGTTTTTTAATATCATCCTTCTTTGAAGATTTATAATTATCATTACCAAGTTCAGTTGTTAAAGACTCATTTATACTTTTGACACCATTTGCAGCTGCTGCTTGATGTATTAAAGTTTTCAAGGTTTGATTTTCAGGTTGCTTGTCAATTTCCATTGATTCACCTTCAACCTCTTGCGGATTTGAGCCAAAATAATCTTTTGACTTTTCAGCATTAGCGTTAATTGAAGAATCCGCAGGTAATTGTGTAACATCTTTTTTATCTACCGTATTATCATTCTCGATCAAAACTTTATAATCTCTACCAGCATCAGCGAATATATCTTCAGAATCATCAATGGCAGCAAGTTTTACCATTGTAACTTCAGCAGGTTGTTTCTCTCTAAGCCTTTTCTTCAATTTTTTATCTTTGGTATCACCACCAATAGCTCGTTCTCCTTTTCGCATATAAGCCATCACTCGTGATATTTTTTCAATGACAAGATCATTGGTAGATTTATCAACCCCTGTGGAATCACTTATATCAGCCTTACTACGAATAACAGTTGTAGGAATAGCAAAAGGATCACTATATCCACCGACCTCATCTGCAAGTTCAAATATATAAGCCATCCTCCCAGCCACAAATAGTTCATTTAATTTAGGTGGTTTTTTTTTAGATTCTAACATAGTAATATCAAATATATTCTGAGCAAGCCGACTATTAATTTTAGGAGTCTCCTGCATTTCCTCCTTAATCCTTTCCAATGCCGTATCATCAATTTTTTCAATAACTTCTTCTTTGGTAATTTCATTACGAACTTTAGCGAGTAATGCATAATCTAAACCTTTTACTAAATGAGTATGCTCTGTATCACCACCAAGGTATTTAGATTGTTCATAAATTAATTTTGCTTCTAAAGTTTCACTATTATTAAGAGCTTTAAGTATTTGTTCCGTCTCTTGATAATCAGGATTAGCACCTTTGCGACGTTCGGCCGCACGATCACGATATTTAGCGTCATTAGCATCTACATCAGAAACTTCAGGTTTACGATATCGATTGCTTCATTATAAGAATAATTGTTTGTTAAAATATAAGAAAAATATATAATGATCTTTTTTATTTCAAAAAAATTAAAATAAACCTTTTCTTTGGTTTAGATCCAGGTGTTTCGGGCTTAGCAAAAGCTCTTCTATTTTGTGATAACGGAATTAGTGAGAACCAAATAATAATAAATAAATAGATAAATAAATATGTAACTTTATTCTACTTACGGTGTTGCTGGTGCCATCCTCTGTCTAGGAGTTGCCATACCGAGAACACCCTTGGACGAAGCGTCTCCAGGCCTTGGAGTCTGTAATAACTTTCGAAAATCATCTTGTTTTAATCTGTAATCATAGAAAAAAAAAAAGAATTAGACTGACAATTAGAGCAGTTAATTTATTATTTGAAGCTTTACTACCCTCTCTGCTTATTTTCTTGCGCGTTTGTATCAGACATTTTTTATTTAAATATTCCAAAATTTTAATATTATATCGGAAACTCAGCCAGTTGTTTTAGGGGACACAGCAACACGTGATTTATCGGCACAGCGATGATCGACATGAGCACCCCAAATTTTGACCAATCAATTTTTTAGAAGATATCAGATAATATATTACAAATATATTACGTATATATTACGTATATATTACGTATATATTACATATTCGGATATTAAGGATATTAAATAAATATCCGATTTTCCCATTTTTAACCAGATCGTTACAAGTTCTGAAGTTAACATACATAAAAGGCAAAAACTTCAACCTTTGAATACTGGAATATATAAACGGAAATGAGTGGGTTTGTGAGTCAAAATAGCAATATTTTTGAGGAAATAAAAGTCGAATTTGAGGAGAACAATGAAGCTAAATTTAATAGTAATGATGAGGATGAATTTAATAATAAAAGTGATATTGAATTTAGTAGTGAATTTGATAGTGAATTTGGCAGTGAAAATGAAAGCGAAATTGAGGAGAAAGATAGATTTAACAAAAAAGAGACCACAAGTATTTGTCAATGGATTAAATAAATCAAAATTAACTTTTTTTTTTTTTTTTTTAATATTCTATATAATTATAAATCACAATTGTTATATTGATAATCTTTGTTTCTTTTTAATAGCTAATAAAATTGATGAATTGCTTGGTCAATATTATATTACAAAAAAGGACATTCTTAATACCATACAGAAAGTTGCTCAGCATCTTGGATTTGCAGTAACAACCAAAAGCAGTGATCATTGCCATTTTCATCTTCAATGCAAACGTGGTGGTCAATCTCGTAATACCTCAAACTTGACAGTAGATATGCACAAAAGAAAGAAAATAAGTAAATGTTGTGGATGCCAATTTCTTTTAAAAGCAACACCAAAAAATTCTAAATAGTGTATTACTGAAATAATAAATAAGCACAATCATTCTCTAGCCAAAGATGAAAGAATTTTTCATAAACATCGTCAATTAACATGTGAAACAAGAAGTGCAGCTGTACAAATGTTGAAAGCAGGAGCAAGGCCAAATATGATTTATGAAGCAATTAGGGACGAAGATGGAAAACCAATTGCAACTAGAAAGGATATATATAATTTAGGCTTACGAATTAACTCTCTAGAGGAGACTGCTTCAATGGAGGGACTGATAATTGGCATGGAGAAAAGAGAATATATAGTGCGTTGTGAAAATTATGAAAGAAAGTCTTTTTTTTTTATTAATTTACATTGTTGCAATAACTATTTCTATATATTAATAATAAATGATCTATTTATTTGATATA